ATATCGCGGCTGCAGGTGGGATTCAAATATTTAGACGCAACAGATTTTTTTTTTGAACACCATTATAACTTTATTTAAACAATGTTTGTAGGGATACAAGCTATAGGTGGGGGTGAGGTGAGCCAAACATGACGCCCACTCTCGAGAGAAGTAGCAGCTTTCACTAGACTATGTGCTTCAATATTGCATGCTCGATTTTCATGACTAATGGACACCTCCTGGAACAACGCCTTTTTTGCGAGAATCTCCTTGATGATTACGGCATAGCTGCATGGGTTATCCTCCTTGATGTTGCGAACCACTTGTAGACAATCCGTAGCAATTTGTATTTGTGAGAGGTTTAGATCAAGAGCTAGCGACATTGCCTCACTGCATGCAATGGCTTCAAGTGTCGATGGATGTGTAAGACCTTCAAAAACAATTGAGGATGCGCCGAGGAAGGTACCCGTCACATTACGGCAAATTGCACTTACAGCTCCCTTCCGTTCTCGTCTGTCTATACCTCCGTCAACATAAATTTTGGCACTTCCCACAGCAGGAGCTTGCCAGCCGCCACGGGCAGGCCTACGAGGTTGGCTGGGCTGGTTAGACTTCTTGACTGGTAGCCCTTCAAGCTCTGACAGAAAACGCTGGATAAAGGAGAACGTCGATAGCGGACTCTGAAATTGTTGCTCATGAATCACTTTTCGGCGAGCCCACCAAATGGACCATAGTGTTATCAGGACCTTCACAACTTCCGCATGTGATGCTACTTCGAGTAGATTGAACAACCACAACTTAGGATCTTCCTGATCACGTGACTGAACAAGATTCACAACATCATCATCCATCAGCGACCATACTGCTTTCGCCATGTTACAGTCTATGAGCGAATGGTGCCACGAATCTTCAGCTGCATTGCAAACAGAACAAGTCGCCTCCTGCGCCATGTTCCGAGATAGCCTTACATCACCCGTCGGGAGGGACACATGAGCAAGTCGCCAAGCAAAATTTTTAACTTTAGAAGGAACCTTGATGCCCCATAAATCAGACCATTGCCGGCGAGTTCTTTCAAGGTCGGACGGCCCCGGTCGGTGCTCGAGCCAGTCCTCTCTTTGTCGCTTCGTCTCCACTAGTAGCCGGTAGGCTGAGCGGACAGAAAATCGTCCAGAGTGCTCATAGTGCCATGCCCAGGTATCCGGCAAGTTGATTGAACTTAGCGGGATGTTTAGCACCACGTCCGCATCAGGTGGGATCATATGCTCTCGTACAGCCTCTATGTTCCATGCATGCACGGTTTGGTTAATTAATTCACTAACAAACTCCG